TGTGACTTGGAGGGGGGTGGTTGCAAAGTAGTGGCATATGCAGACGACGTTGTCCTAATGTTCACGGGAAAATTCCCACAAAACTTTCTTTGATCTTATGACCACAAAACTTGCTCGATTGTCAGAATGGACAAGATTGTGCGGATTATGTGTAAATGCCTCGAAAACGGAACTTGTGCTATTCAGTAACAAGTACAAAAATCCGCCACTCAACCTTCCAACACTAAACAAATGTAGGTTAACCTTTAGCGACAGTGCCAGTTACCTTGGGTTGGTAATAGACAGGAAGTTAAATTGGAACCTAAATACGAAAGAAAGAGTGAAGAAGGCCACTATGGCCCTATACACCTGCAAAAAAGCGATCGGATTAAAATGGGGCATGAACCCAGGTATGGTTCAATGGATATACCAAGCTGTAGACAAACCAATACTGCTCTACTGGCAATCACTGGCACCACTCCAAGTGATGCACTAAATGCCATCCTATACCTGCAGGGTATAGTAATTGCAGGGAAGGAACAGGTAGTTAGGTCAGCTATACGACTGAGAGACTCGGACCAATGGACGTCACGACCTTATGGTCACTCGGCGGTCCTTAATGATACCAACATAGTACCTTACATAACGGACTATTGTGTTCCCAGGGAGTACACAGCACCCCCCTTCGAGTCTTTTATCCCCCGCTGAGAGGAATAGCTCGAGGGGCCACCTGGTCCAAAGGGGGCCATAAATATCTTTACAGTTGGATCCAAATTATAAAATAAAGTTGGCGGATGAATTTACTCTGAGCAACTAAACATAAGATACTCATTCCGCCTTCCAGATCATTACAGTGTCTTCCAAGCGGAAGTCAATGATTAATGAGGCGCTGAGTTGCCTCCAAGAGACTACCGTCACGGCTACTCACCTAAATATCTACAGTGACAGCCAAGCGGCACTCAGATCACTAAACGCGATTTCTTCAAACTCTACCACAGTAGCAAATTGTCGTAAATCTCTACATGAGATGGCAGAGCAATATGTTATTAGCCTAATAATGGTCCTGGGATCCTGGTGTCCCATTGAAGACAACTGCATAGCAGACAAGTTTGCCAGATCTGGCACTACACTCCACTTTAATCAAGATAAGGAGGAAATACGTATGCCAATGGCCACTTGCAAGCCCAAGATAAAAGAGAACTATATCCTGCAAACAAACCACAGATGGCAAATGGTCCCAAGATGTCACATCACCCGACAAACGTGGCCAGACATCTCAAAAAAGCACCGCTGAACTATGCAAACTATGCAGACATAGGTGCAGCGTAGTCATTCGCTCTCTTACAGAGCACTGGCTAATAGGCAACCATGCGAATAGGCTGGGTGCCCCTATAACGACTTTTGTCGCAGCTGTAGAGACGAGGACGAGGAGGAGACAGTAGAACATCTGTTCTGCTCCTGCCCGGCTCTCCGTAGAAGGAGGTTAAAATATCTGGGCTCACCTTTTCTTAACGACATTTCAGAAATGGCTACTATAGGCCCCAGGAAGATAGCAAAGTTTGTGAGAGCATCTGGATGGGAGCACTGTTGACACCCTGACAAACGGGAGGAGAAGAGGAAAATATCCAAGCGGAATCACAACGTGCCGAAACCGGCCTAGGTGTGTCGGGATTGTAACCTAACCTTTCCTAGAGACACAAACTGCAGAGTCACGGCAGAGGCAGAGGCCGCACACTGCAGAAGCAGCGTGTGAATGAGAGAACGGGGTGGGTTTAGGAACTGAACATTAATTTCTTTATTCTGGCTATAATAATCAGATCCCAATTTGGTGATCCCCTTTTGCGGGGGCGGAAAGGGGCAGGGCTTATTTTTGAAACACATTTTTACACTTGTAACAGTGTGAGCATACAGTAGTCTGAATGCAAATTTGGTGACTCAACAACGGATAGACAGACAGACATGGCTATATCGACTCGGCTATTGATGCTGATCAAGAATATATATATATACTTCTGTGCGTTACATACATTCACTCTTCGATTTGTACATAACAATATTTACTCTTCGAGTACCGGGTGACGATCTGATAGATATGGTCAAAATTGTAGGTTTGGGACGTTTTCGCCCTTTTGCGGGGGCGAAAGGGGGCGGGGCTCATTTTTGAAATACACTGGTTTCAGTGTGAGCATACAGCAGTCTGGAGCCAACATTTGGTGGCTCTAGCTCTTATAGTCTCTGAGAACTAGCCGACAAACAAGACGGACGGACAGACGGACAGACAGACATGGCTTTATCGACTTGGCTATTGATGCTGATCAAGAATATGGGGTCGGAAACGCTTCCTTCTGTGCGTTACATACAGCCGTTATTCAACACAAATACAATATACCCTATTTACTCTTCGAGTACCGGGTATAAAAAGTTTATATTGTATTTGCGCACAAAAGTAGATGTACACATGTAACGCACAGAAGAAAAGTTTCCGACCATATAAAGTATATATATTCTAATTCACCATCAAAAGCCGAGTCTATATCTGTATGTCTGTCTGTCTCCGTCTGTCCGGTAGCGGAGGGTGTCGAGTTAAAAGAGCATGTTGGTGTGAGAAGTGATGTAGATGTAGATAACTTTTTATTATTTGCCCTACGGGGCCTCAACTGGGATGCAACTGTGAGACTGCCATCCTACCGTAGTAGACTTCTTTTAATAAATCTTCCATCCTTAGTCGTAGAAAATTGCTTTCTGTAATTTTTATGCACAACTTGATCATGGGGGATGTAGACAACCCTGACTTGCTGAGCCGCATAAACTTTACGATTCCCATTAGACCCACTAGAAACTATATTCCTTTGTTCCTTCCACTGTGCAGATCGAATTATGCCTTGCACGAACCCTTTAGGGTCTTATGCTAGGATTATAATGCCCTCTATCACATTATATCCTCAACTAACTTCCTTCCTCTTCTTAAATCTCTTATACTAGCCTACCTCTCCCGCAGCTAGTTTCATTTTAGTTTTGTCTTACTTCTGACTGCTTGCTCTAGTTTAGTTGAGTTTATTTCTGATTTTCCTCGAATATTAGCCTAACATCTATCTTTCGTGCATGCTCGCGACCGGTTCGGTTAATCGCGAATGGTTTCGCATGGGCCACTTGATGGTGCAGTCATTGCATATCAACTATTGCATATATCAACGTCCAGAAAACAGATGTAGTAAAAATGTAAACCTAAAAAAAATCATATATACATACATGTGTCACACTAAGGTTATATACATATGTGCATACATATGTAAGTTCATTTGTAAATACAAATGTTTTATACTGACTGAGTACCGGGTATAAAAGTTGTGACAAGTACAAAGCATCTCACACGTTCCTACTCGTTTTTTTAAGTTTTTGGAGAACAATTGAACAGCTGTACGCGTCACAACTTTTATACCGGGTACTCAGTACTACATCTGCACCTTAGCGGTTTTTGTCAAATTTAACATTTTTTCGTCATCTATCATCTACATCTACAACACTTCTCACGCCAACACGCTCCTTTAGCTCGCCCCCTTTCCTATAGCCACACACTACAGAGTCACGGCAGAGGCAGAGGCCGCACACTGCAGAAGCAGAGTGTGAACATTAATTTCTTCATTCTGGCTATAATAATGATCCAATCGAATCCCAATTTGGTGATCTGATGATATGGGCATTCCATGCGGAATGGCGTTTTTAGTTTTCTTTTATCTTCAAAATTGTAGACTTGGGAGGTTTTCGCTCTTTTGTGTGGCGGAAGGGGCGGGGCTAATTTTTGAAATACACTGGTTTCAGTGTGAGCATACAGCAGTCCGGAGCCAAAATTTGTTGGCTCTAGCTTTTATAGTCTCTGACTACTAGGCGCTCAACAAGACGGACGGACAGACAGACATGGCTCAATCGACTCGGCTATAACTTTTAGCTCGCCCCCCTCCCCAAGAGTGGCACACTGGGCGAAGCTGAGTGTGGATGAGAGAATGTGAAAAAACATAAAAAGCTGCAGGACGGGGTGGGTTTAGCCACTGGAAATTAATTTCTTCATTGTGGATATAATAATGCTCCAATATGATCGGAATTCGGTGATCTGATAGATATGTTCATTTCCTACGGACTGGCATTTTTCTTTTATCTTCAAAATTGTGGCTGTGGGAGATTTTCGCACTTTGCGGTGTTAGCATACATACAATTTTATGGTTCTAGCTTTTATAGGTTTTTAGATCCAGACGGACAGGCGGATGGACAGACATGGCTCCATCGACTCGACTATTGATGCTGAACAAGAATATATACACTTTATGGGGTCGGAAACGTTTCCTTCTCTTCGTTACATACATCCACTTTGTGCCCAAAAACAATATACCCTATTTACTCTTCGAGTAACGGGTATAAAATATGTGAACAGTGAATTTGTAGGGTCGAATGTAACACCGCTCGACATAATCGAAATTTTTTTCCGCTTTCGCTATTAGCTTTTTTAAATTATTATAGTTTTATTTATATCGCAGAACTTGTTTTAATGAATTTTGAAGTCTTTTTTTTACGTTGTTTTTAGAGGTAGCGCTTCTTTATTTCAAATAACTGTTAAGATACTTACATTTGGTTGTAATGAACTTAGCCATCCTATAAAGCTGATGAATGCATCTAAAATGTATACCCAAACACTTTGTGGTTTTAAAGAAGCGTTACCTGTATATATATAAAGCTATACAAAAAATACCAGATTTGTTAAATTCTTTAAAAAAAAGTTCTGCTATAGAAATAACGAGGAGAGACTTGTGAGGCGCTTCTTAAGAGTCACAACTTTTATACTTTATGGGGTCGGAAACGTTTCCTTTTGTGTGTTACATACATCCACTTTGTGCACAAATACAATATACCCTATTTACTCTTCAAGTACCGGGTATAAAAATAGCGACAGTCCTTTTAACTTGTTAAAATTGTACTTTTGAAAAATAAAAGCATCGTAAGAGATATGATGTTTACATTAAAAGTCTTACTTCAAACAAATCCACCGGAACTTCATTTTTTAATAAATATTTTTGAACACTTGCAACAGCATCTTTGGAATATTCCTAAAATAAACAATTCTTTAATAGAATTTATTACCCGCTTAGATTAACAACAAAGACTACTTACATAAGTGTGTGAAAGCATTTCCTCCATTATAAAGTTGTCATAGATTTCCCTTGCCAGTTTTTTACGTTCTTCATAACATTCTGTTTTTTCGAAGCATTTTATCTAAAAATAGAAATACAAACATGTAGAGAGAATTAAATACGAAAAGGAACGTTGCGAGAAGCTGATACTTTTATAGCCTATTCTTATTAGGGATGAGTTATTGCGATTCGGGGAAAACTTATTTTTTATACCCGGTACTCGAAGAGTAAATATTGTATTTGTGCACAAAGTAGATGTATGAAACGCACAGAAGGAAACGTTTCCGACCCCATAAAGTATATATATTCTTGATCATCATCAATAGCCGATTCGATTGAGCCATGTCTGTCTGTCCGTCTGTACGTCTGCCCGTCCGTCTTGTTGAGCGGCTGGATCTCAAAGACCGTAAAAGCTAGAGCCACCAAATTTTGCATCCAGACTTCTGTATGCTCACACTGTTACAAGTGTATTTCAAAAATGAGCCACGGCCCCTTCCGCCCCCGCAAAAGGGCGAAAGCCTCCCAAAGCTACAATTTGAAGATAAAATAAAACTAAAAACGCCATTCCGTAGGAATTGGCCATATCTATCAGATCACCAAATTGGGATGCCGGGTATAAAAGTTGTGACGCGTAAGAAGCGTCTCACACGTCCCTTCTCGTTTTATTAAATTTGACACTTTCTATTTTTGTACATATGTGTGTCATCTACATCTACATCACTTCTTACGCCAACATGCCCTTTTAGCTCGCCCCCCTCGCATTGAACCGCACACTACACAAAGCAGAGTGGGAGAGAAAGCGCAAGAAATACAAAAAAAGCTGCTGGGGTGGGTTTAGCCACTGCCAATTAATTTATTCATTCTGGCTATAATAATGGTCCAATCTGATCCTAATTTGGTGATCTGATATATATGGGCATTACCTACTGAATAGCATTTTCTCGTATCTTTAAAATTTTGGTTGTGGGAGATCTTCGCCCTTTGTGTAGGCGCAAGGGGCCGGGGCTATTTTTAAAATACGCTGGTTTCAGTGTGACCATACAGCAGTCTGGAGGAAAAATTCGGTGGCTCTAGCTCGTATAGTCGCTGAGAACTATCGACAAACAAGACGCACAGACAGACATGGATCAAGAATATATATACTTTATGGGGTCGGAAACGTTTCCTGCTGTGCGTTTCATGCATCAACTTTGTGCACATATACAATATACCCTATTTACTACTCGAGTACCGGTTAAAAAGTAGGGTTTGTTCTTTGAGAATTTGTCGAGTAGTGTTGTAAGCACGTTCTTTGTGGTAAAAGTGCGCTGGGTAATGCAGGTCAATTTTAAAATGAAAGTTTGAAGGGATCCTTGTGGGTGGGCAGCAGAGCAAAGCGTTAGTATGCATAAAATAGGGATTGTTCTAGTAAAAACGTGTAGGAACGTTGGTACGCGTTCGTACGCGTCACAACTTGTATCCCCGGCACTCAGTCTGTATATACATATGTACATATTCATTGTTATGTATGTATGTATCACACTAAGTTTACATATGTACATACGTTTTTAACCTCATGATATATTTAGCATTTTACATTTTTTCTATATCTGCTATCTACATTTACATCACTTCTCACACCAAAACGCCTTTTTAGTTCGCCCAACACCCCCCACCCACCCTCCCTAGAGCCGCACACTGCGTGAGGAAGAGGAATGTGAGATGTGCAAATGTTCCACTGCAAATGAATTTCGTCATTCTGTCTATAATGATTCAATCTGATCATTTTTCAGTGACCTGATAGATATGGATATTCTCTACAGAGTTGCGCTTTTACTTTTCTCATCTCTTTAAAATGGTGGCTGTGAGAGATTTTCGTCCTTTGTGGTGACGGAAAGAATCGGTAAGAAACAGTAAGAACCTAAAAAAAAATCAAGTCGTTGCAGGTAGTAGTGTAAGCTGGTGGATGTTGGTTTAAAAAGTGTTTCCAAATGTGTATTTAGATGAGAGTAAAATGAGTGCATGAGTAATACCCATTGAGTATATTATAAGAGGGTGCACTATATGACAAAAGTTGAATATGTTGTCATTAATGGTAAAAGCATTTGTTTAAGCTTATTTTAGAGGTGTTAGCTTTATTTTTTTGTACATTACTTATGTATCTTACATCTGTTTGTAATGAACTTGCCATTCTAAGAAGCTAATCAATGCAATAAAAGGGTCTTAAAAACTGTCTTTTGTGTCTTTTGTGCAATGTATTCCACTAAGTAGTCCCCAGATATGAACAAAAGTAAAAATCTTTCAGCAACACTTCAAGAATATGTTTTTAACAGAGACTCTTCTTACGCGTCACAACTTTTATATCCAGTACTCAGTACTACTCCTGTACCTTGGCGGTTTTTTTTCAAAAATGTTTTCATCAAGGGTTGGGTGAATCGGTGATCTGATAGATATGGTTATTCCCTACGGAATGGCTTTTTAATTTTCTTATATCTTTCTTGTATCAGTGACATCACACAAGTCTGGGG